CTGCCCCCATGCAATGGTTATGAATTTAGGGCAGACACAGCTGAAGGAGGAGTGAGGGACAGAAGGTCATATTATCATAGGAATTTAAGGGTGGAGGTCACATCTCATCCAGCCCCCTGCTCAAAGCAGGACTAGCCCCAACTAGATCACCCCACAAATTGTGGGGAGAAGTGGACACACCAGAGGGCAGGGAACAGCTGCAAGCAGATCTGGACAGGTTGGACACGTGGGCAGAAAACAACAGAATGCAGTTCAACAAGGAGAAATGCAAAGTGCTGCACCTAGGGAGGAAAAATGTCCAGCACACCTACAGCCTAGGGAATGACCTGCTGGGTGGCACGGAAGTGGAAAGGGATCTTGGAGTCCTAGTGGACTCCAAGATGAACATGAGTCGTCAGTGTGACACAGCCATCAGAAAAGCTAATGGCACTTTACCGTGCATCAGCAGATGCATGATGAACAGATCCAAGGAGGTGATACTTCCCCTCTATCGGGCACTGGTCAGACCACAGTTGGAGTACTGCGTGCAATTCTGGGCGCTGCACTTCAAGAGGGATGCGGATAACCTGGAGAGGGTCCAGAGAAGGGCCACTCATATCGTTAAGGGCTTGCAGACCAAGCCCTACGAGAAGAGACTAGGGCACCTGGACCTTTTCAGCCTCCGCAAGAGAAGGTTGAGAGGCGACCTTGTGGCTGCCTATAAGTTCATCACGGGGGCACAGAAGGGAATTGGTGAGTATTTATTCACCAAGGCGCCCCCAGGGGTTACAAGAAATAATGGCCACAAGCTAGCAGAGAGCAGATTTAGACTAGACATTAGGAAGAACTTCTTCACAGTTGGACATCTAAACCCAGCCCTCTTTCCTGCCTATGCAGGGGGTCGGACTCGATGATCTATTGAGGTCCCTTCCAACGACCCTAACATCTATGAATCTCTGCCAAGGCTTTGTCTACCCAGGTCTTAAAAACCTCCAAGGATGGGGAGTCCCCCCACCTCTCTGGGTAACCTCTTCCAGTATTTTACTACCATCCTAGTGTGAAAATTCTTCCTAATAGCTAACCTAGACTTCCCTTACTGCAACTTGAGATCACTGTACCTTGTTCTGTCATCTGCCACCCATGAAAACAGTCCAGCTCCATCCTCTTTTGAACTCCCTTCAGGAAGCTGAAGGCTGCTGTTAAATCCTGCACCAAGTCTTTTGTTCTGCAGACTAAATAAGCCCAGTTCCTTTAGCCTTTCCTCATAAGTCATGGCCCCCAGCACCCAAACTATTTTTTTGCCCTCCACTGGACTCTCTCCAATTTCTCCATATAGTTTCTGTAGTGGGGGGCCCAAAACTGAACACAGGACTCCAGATGTGGCCTCACCAGTGCTGAAGAGGAGAATAATCACTTCCCTTGACCTACTACCAACACCTACCAATGCAGCCCAGGATGCCATTAGCCTTCTTGGCAACAAGGGCACTCTGCTGGCTCATATTTGGTTTATTGTCCACTGTAACCCCCAGGTCCTCTTTGGCAGAGCTGTTGCCCAGCCAGTCTGCCCCCAGCCTGTACCGGCACATGGGCTTGCTCCATCCTAAGTGGATGACTTCACACTTGGCCTTGTTGAACCTTGGCCTAGCCCTCCAATTTGTTTAGGTCACTCTGAATCCATGACCTACCCTCCAGCATATCTACTCCCCACCCAAGCTTGGCGTCTGTCAACTTGCTGCAAACTATGCCACCTTCCAGGTCATTGACAAAGATATTGAACAAAACCAGTCCCAGGATTGACCCCTGGGGCACTCCACTTGATACCAGCTGCCAACTAGACATCAAGCCATTGATTACTAACCTCTAAGCCCAATGCTCCAGTCAGTTTTCTATCCATCCCCATTCATTCAGCTTGTACTTCCTTAGCTTGCCTGTGACAGTGTTGTGGGAGACCATATCAAAAGTCTTGCTAAAAATCAAGCAAGGTTCTTTGGATAGATGTGATTTTTTTTTTTTTTTCCATTAGATCAACTGAGTAGTTGGAAAAAAAAGTTCTTAGCAAGCTTTTGGGCAAAGTCGCCCTTCATGAGGCATAGGGAGTCTCTGCTGAGACTGATGAGACTTCCTATGCCTGGCAAAGGGTGACTGAGCCTGAAACCTTGCTAAGAACTTTTTTCCAACTACTCAGTTGGTCTAATAAAAAAAAAAAATCATGTCTGTCTACCTAAAGAACATTATCCATCTATGCCCTTAGACCAACATGGCTACCACCAAAAACCCTTGTTAAAAATCAAGGTACACCACATCCACAGAGACCGTCATCTCATTGTAGAAGGCAACCAGGCAGGTCCAAATTAAAGTCAGAGAAAAGCTGCAAATCCACCTCTTCTTGGAAATCCTGATCCCCTCAATTGCTTCCCTTGTAAGGACAGTTCAATTTATACCGCTTGTACTTGCTAAGCTCCCTTTATCCAAATCAGGCATCTGTGCACTTCTATTAATGTTTCAGTTCTAGCAGTTTTTGTCCAGTGAACCCGAGTAATACTTTCCTAGCTTCCCCAAACCCTCCCCTAAATGTACCAACTTTGAACCTTGTTGCTGAACAAGCTGCATTTTGCTGTACTCAGAGTACGGGTCATGGCAGTCCAGGGTGGGGTGGGGCAGCACACAACTCCAGTCCAAGCATTTTCTGTAGTACAGATAACCAAGCCTAGCTAGCATAAGGCATTAAATACATGCTGAAGGTCAGCATCCTAGAAAAATAGATGCAATTCCCATTAGCTTGCATTAGAGTTGTGTATGCATTGGTAAGATTAAAAAAACGAAACAAAACATACAACCTCTCCCCAGGTTTTATGATTTTTGATGCAACATGAAAAGGCTTAAGGGAGCCTGGACAATGCTGCCGTTGAACTCTGCCAACACACAGTGCTCTTTGCAGGCGAAGATGGGAGGATGCCGTGTCCTGGGTGTGAGGGCACAGACAAGGGACTGCATCCTACTCAACTTTACTTGGGGAACTTGCTGGCCAAGCAGTTTAAACTCAGTTCACCCATTTTTTAGAATGGTGATAATCTTCCCAGTAGCACTGATGTTGGGGAGTGTTGACATGAGTTTTAATACTTCGGTCATAAGCAGCTAGAAATGCCAATACATACAACACAGCCAGTGGAGAAGTCCCATGGCTCCCATGCATTTGGATAACGTGGCTTCTACATAGCCAGGAAAGGAGTAGGATGCCACATAAGGTGAAGAATCGAGCTCATGAAAGCTCCACCATTAGATAATGGGCACTGAGTATGGGAAGCTAAAAGTGGGAGAGGAGCAGCAAGTGGAAAAGTCTCTACATACCCTGTTCACTCTCCCCTTCAGCCTCTGCTCTCTACTAGTGACATGGGATACTAGGCTCGACACGCCTAGTCTAACCCAGTAAACGGCAATTCTTATGGATTAGATGGAACGAGAGAGAGGGAAAGGTGTTCATTTAGGGAAGCAGGAAAAAAAAAAGTGAGGATGACTTAAAATGCTGCCTTGCATCATTACTGCTCCCAGGACAAGTCTACCAGACTGCACACTTTTGGTGCTGCATGAGTCGTTTCCATCTATACTGCACTGTAACATCGGTGTCACAATTTGTAGCATCTCACGTAGATGTGCCCCTAGGTGCTGAGAGGGGCTGAAGAACCCTTATGGTCATGAGCAGGAGCATGTGCTCTTCTACCCTTACCCAAGAGAGAGAAGTTCTTGAGGGATCAGAAGAGGCTAGGGTTCCCCAACACGCTCCTACCTCCCTGCAGTACAGCAGCGGAAGCATGCCAGGCAGTGGTTACAACATAGTGTTTTACTGGAAGCTTTATAAAAAAATTTGATTGCAGTACATCACCTGCCTATACTATATATACTCAGCTGAGGGACTGGCTCAGACAGCAAGCGCTGTACAAGGTAGCCAGAGAAAAAGCATAGAGAAAGTATAGAAGAGTTCACTCGTCTTGGAAAACAGCTGTGCTCGAGATGCAGGATGAAGACACAAGACATTGCAAAGTTACAAATTTATTTTTTTTTTTTTTGAAATAAATACAGATACTCATTAAGAAACTTTTCTGGATAGACTTTACACAGTAGCTTTATTCTCTCTTTAAAAATTTGCCTGTTCCTCCTAACAAGCCATTATGGAAATTCTGCACAAGTGTTAGTTAAATGTGAAGTAACCTAAACTGCGTTCTTCTGAACATGGAGAGCAACCCAAAATATTTAAGTGTATTAAAGTATTACCACTTGCTATTTAATTGCTCAGTATCTGAATTTTCATGTCTATGTAATAATCGTGATGTAGCAAACGCATATCAAAGCAAGTGAAAACCTGTCCAAATACAGGAATGGAAGGAAAAAAAAAAAAAAAAAAAAAAAAGAGACTGAAGAACATCCAACAACTAGGAATAAAACAGTGGGCAGTTGATAGGTACCAAACCCACTAGCTTCCAAAAGAACGTAACCTGAGAGCTATCAGTAGGTTACATTAAGAGATGCAGAATCAGCACATCACTAGATTTACAGTCATTAACCACTAGATTTCTCAGTTACAGTGTTGCCCCTTCCACCACTTTGTGGAACATACTTTTGAGCACCAGTAAGTCCTAATCAGAAATTTAAAAAAACCCTATAGTAATTAGTGGCTGTGGAATGTACAGTAATTACAAGCCATCCCACAGTTGTTCATCTTCCTGGATCTGGAACAGCTGGAACTGGCTTTGTTCACAGAATTATTACACTTCTGATAGACAAAAACCCCTTCAAACTGTAAAGATTAAAAACAAAAAAAACCCACATGAAGTGGTAATCCAGCTGCTTCCAACAACTATTCATTGCCGTTGTGCAGTTGCTCCTGGTATTATAAGCAAGCCAACCCTCTGCCACATCATCCAAGATCCCACCAAAAAGGAAGTGCTACTTGACTTACAAAAATTAAACCTTGTTAAGCAGGTTTTTATGTACTAAAAGGGGGAAAGAG